AGTGGTGTAAATTTTTTTTGCTTGGTTTAATAACGCAAATTTGAGGGCCGTCATGGTGCTACCTTTAGGTATTGAGGTACTGCGAAATGAATTTGAAAAATGAAGTATTTGCTGGAGCAAGTTTGGCGAATAAGTGATATTTTATTTTACCTAAAATAAAACTTTTTGATAAGTGTGAAAAAGCGGCGAAAGGTCGTATCAATTGCTATTATTTTTACGAAATTCTTACTATACTTCTTCAAAATGCTGCCGCTACTCTTAATTTGCATCTGATTTTCGTCGAATCCTCCACTGCTCTGGGCTCAACTTTGGCCAGAAGCTGTTTCTGTGTTCAACTTTGTGCACTTCGTTCGTCTAGCCTGGGCTAATATTCTTTCGGCTGTAATCAGTCGGCGCCCAGGCTACTTGGAACAAAATTTTTACCAAATTTTTATTGAAAGACAGTTGTAGCTCTCAAATATATCACAGATAATATCTTTGTAACAGCACAGTTTTGTGAGAATATCGCAGTTTTGCTAATGAACTAACGCCACTTTAGTGGATTTATCAAATTTGACTATTCCGGCCAAATTAGAAACTCCTTCGCGCTGCCGCGGTCCGTCGTCTCGCTGCTTTGATAACCTTCGCCAGCCGACTCTGACGCAGTTTACCCCGTCGACGATATTGCGATTCATCGGGCACATGCGCTGATCCGTAAGACTGGGGAATTGGTGCCGCCTGTTCGGGCATGTACTGTGAAGACGGAGGTCCGGATTCCTGATAAGTACCCGTACGTGGTGGACACGGACAGTAGGCCGCATCGGCACCTGGCGTACCTGGATTACCCGGCTGAAAAATTACGGCATCAAATGAACAACAACATACATAATACAGGCATGACTGTAAAGGAATTGGCTCGCACACGCTGCTGTTTGTTTCGTCTGGTACACGTTGCGTATCTGTATCATGTCGCGTAACGAAACTCTGCTGAAGATTACTTCGAATGAGCTGACGGCGGGCCTGACTCTCTCCTAATATATGCCAGTGTCAGTCTGCCATCCAAAGAATGGATGAATCCAGACGAACTGATTACCTCACCGCGCGGAATCGAACCTTCGATGTTCAGCGCTACAGAAATGCGATTTGCTACTACGTCATGCCTGCAGCTGGCTTAAAACTATGGATGTGCCAAATTTTTCTGAAATTTTAAAAAAATAAACTATGGACGTAAGCGACAAATCTTCGAAATTCATCTTAAACAGTTGAAGAAGAGAAAAAGGTAGGAGAGACTCGAACAGAGTTTAACCGCACTTCAACTCTGCAGCAAACTACACGTGTTACTGCCCAGCGGAAAAAAGCGATCTAATTCAATAAAGCTGAACAAGAATTTTTATGCGTTTTGTACTGTGTAACAGCAGTACAAAACGCATATTGTTACGGGGTTGTCTGTG